TTGAGGATTAGATCAATAAGTGATATTTTTCTTTATTCTCATTACTTGTCTGCTTGATATTGTTTGAAATTGTGTAAGGAGAAATTCTGGCTTGGTGACTCAGGGCAGTTGAAGGGTTAATAGATATGATGCAATGAGATACAATCCCACACCATTTATCTCTTAAATCTTAAAATTTTCTGTGGACCCTGTCAAAGAAGCTTTCATACAGTATTGTTAGTCCTAAAATGATCACAGTTACTTGAATTTGTATTATAATTATGTAAACCTAAAAGAATCGATTAATTTTGGTGAGGGTAAGTTCCTCTTCTTCTGCATGTGCACACATATACCTGGCATTATTAACAGTATATACTTGCAGTTGAAAGTCATTTTCTCTTTACCATGACTAATTCTAAACTGAGAGTCTATTAATTTTTTTTTTTTTTTTCACAATTGAAATAACTTTCATGATTATGGTCCCACAAAGGTCAGTATTAATTTTGTGTAACTGGATAACTTTGTACAAGTGAGAGAAATCAAGTGTTTAATGAAATGGAAATCTGTTTTAATTTGTCATCTTTCAGACGATACCAGTAATTATGGATGGGAAGGATGTGGTAGCCATGGCACGTACAGGTACTTGACAGTTGTGATTACATGTACCTACAGAATGGCACAATTGAATAAAATCTTGATTTCTGATTGGTTAACAAAGTGAGGTATTTAGCATGGAATTGCAATTTGAAAACAAGGCTAAGACAGTTAGTGTTTTCAAGGCCTTGTTTTGCACTCAGGATAAAATCAAACAATATTATTGCAGCTGTTTTCTTTTTTCTTATTTTTATTCAATAACATACTTTAGAGAAAATCCATTATCTGATTTATGAATTCCATGTTAAATTATACTTAATAACTGATATCGCACTCATCACTTTGTGATCTATGCGCTATTGGTTTCTGCACATGATTAAAAAAATTAATGTGGAATTTCCTCATGAGGCAATGAATTTTTTTATACATGTAGAATTTAGGGACTCCAAGTAAAGTTTGCTATTGTAAGTTGTGATTGAAAATGTTTTTGTTCGTACAGTGCAGGTGACACCTGATAACTTGAATTTTGGGGTTGATGGTGGAAAAGTTTTAAGTTATTTGGAGTTTGCTTTGTTAGAAGTGGCAAATAAATGACTGGAAGTAGAGAAAGATGATGTATTTTTATTAATTTTTTACAATCAAATTCATTATAGCGTAGAGACATGAAATGAAAATTGAATATTGTAAAGGTGTTGACAGTTGAGATAAACTATTGGAATTTCAATGATTACACACACTGTTTTTGATAGGTAGTAAAACATAAATAAAAAATTTTTCTTACTCTTTTTTTTTTCACACTGTTTTTTATAGGTAGTAATGCATTTCTTACTTTTTGACAGGCTCTGGTAAAACTGCAGCCTTCTTGATACCAATGTTTGAAAGACTCAAGGCCCATTCAGCCAAGGTAGGGTTTGAATTCAGTGTACTTGTAGAAAAATCTTTAAGACCTTTACATGGTGCATTTAGTAAGAGGTTATAGTAGGGATGAGTGGACAAGCATCATTAGTAACCAATACTGCTGTAATAATCAATCAGCCTACTGAGTTGAAAACTGAAGAAATTAGCTGGCAAAATAGTGCAGGAGAAAGTAAGTTTATTGGCTAGAACAAAAAAATCACTGATGTGTTACTGATACCTACAGGTGCAGACCCATGGCAACATAGAATATATATTTTCATATATTTATAAATATATTTATAGATATATGAAAAAATATAAAAAAGCAAAATCTTGTTAATTTGCCCATTAATTCTTAATATTCAATTCTGTAGTCTCCCCCCATTTCCTTGTAAATTAATTATGCAAATTTGGTGTTAGATCAGGAGAAGAACTTCTACCTGATAAGTTTGAACACTCTTACTACCTCTTTGCTAGATAATGTAGAGATATCATAATGCTTGAAATAAAATAAAAAATCCAGGTTGTCCCTCTTTCAAAAGCTGGGCAACCAAAGCCGTGAATTTGGTTGCCATGATAAATCCTTGGTTGCCCGGTAGAAAAACCCACACATTTAAGTGCACTACTCAAAAAACACCCATTTTTATGCCGTGCAGAGCTTGAGATGTAATCACATGGCAGTCAAGCTTGAACTAATCCCATAGTTCTTAGTGTGTGGCAATGGTTTTGGCAGAAGACTGGGTTTAAGTTGTGGCATATTCAAAATGGCTTCTTTGATCTTGATTGCCTCCAGACAAGAAACTTTGTGTTTGTCTCTTAAATTTTCGTACCTGGCAATGTTTTACAAAATTTACAGATATCCAAAACACAGGAAAATGCTTAACTGAGGCAAATTATTATTAGCTTCACACTACCGGACATTGACAAAACAAAACCATCACCTAGGTCAGGTGCTGTTTATGGTTGATTTATTTTCTATTTTTGGTTGGCCATTGTTTTTTCCCCTGACAACCAGCCTCTTAATTTTACTAAAAATTGGTTGCCCTGACAACCGCTAATTTCGAGCACTGTATCATAGGGAGAATTTGCATGTTAATCATATCTGGGAGTCAAATGGTTTCTTGGGCATCATCTACATGTCTGTCCTCCAATAAATTGTCTAAATAAGAACCAATCATAATGCATTGTATAATTTAGCATATGAACCAATCAAAATGCATTGTATAATTCAGCATATGAACCAATCAAATTGCATTGTATAATTCAGCATATGAACCAATCAAAATGCATTGTATAATTCAGCATATGATGTAAAAAAAATGTTCTAATATCATTGAATTCATCCAACTTTTAAAAGTGACCTTGACGGTTTCACTCTGGACGCATTAAGTTCAAGATGCCTTCCATTGTCTTTGTTTTTGCAGCATGTTTGAAATAATAATAAAAGTGAACCTCAGCAGTTTTATAACTCCAGCCAGTTTTGCTGGGATGGTATCAGCTCTAAGACTCACATGACATTGATTAGTTTCCATCCAACGGTTATTTTAGGTTCTGTTCAGTTTGCTTGTCAAAACTTTAGTCACTGCAACTGACAACAATCCTTAGATCAGATTAAATCATCACAGGTCTACATTGTTTTCCACAAGTATGGTTTCTCAACTAAAAATATATTATAATTGCAGTCATTTTTATGAATTTCTCTGTTAGGTTGGCGCTAGAGGACTGATCCTATCACCAACCCGTGAGTTAGCTCTCCAAACCCTGAAATTCACCAAAGAGGTAAGAGTAAAAGAAATGAACACGTTTTATGTCGGTATAAACCTCTTCTCAAGCCAAGAGGCCCATTCACTCAGAGCTTATTCCTGGATTGAAAAGATGCCAAACATTTTTCTCAAGATCTAGAGCTCCCAGACTCCCTTCCACAACTAAATATATTATTTTTTTAAAAAGAAATTAAAGTTTTTTGTTATAACCCTTTAACTTTCAAGGTCAATTATTAATTCTCCCCTCAGGCTGTTACAATCATGTTTCAGAGTGTAAATTACATGTAGTTATGAGAATTTGGTGTTAGATCAAGATAACAACTTCTACCTGATAACTTTGAGTATTCTCATTTCCTGTTTGCTGGATCGTGTATGGATATTATGGGGAGAAATTACTTGTTAATCACTTCTGGAAGTTAAAGGGTTGATGTTGTCATAGCTGAAATTTTTTTCTGTTGGGTATGAGAAATTAATTGTTCCCATGAGCAGACATGAGGTTTGAAATTCTCTTTTAACATCTAAAAATTGCACCCAACGCAAGAGAGTTTGCAACTTTACTCAACTGTATTTTTACAGTTATTTAATACTCTTTTAGTTGAATTTTATTGGAAAAATTCTCCCAAACTGTTATTTTTCTCAGCTGGGAAGGTTTACTGGCTTAAAGGCTGCTGTTGTGCTTGGTGGAGACAGGTGGGTATTTTAACCATCTCTCTTTCTAACGTAATGAACATAGTGCCAATGCTTTATCAAGTTCTAGAGCCTGCGTGCATCCAAATAGTTAGGTCATAAAAACAATGGAACACATTTTTTTCCACAGTCTATAACATGATGCCACTTGGGCTGTTGGGAGAACACTTGGAAAGCTTTCAAATCACTTTCCTCTGGCTTGTGATTTATAAGTTTTCCTTGTGTTCTTCCAACTTTCTGTGTGGCTTCACCACATTAGAGAGCCCACAAAAAAAAAATTCTACTGCTTCACTAACGATGCTAAAAAAACTTCATTAAAAGCAGTCTGATTTATTGGCTGGATTAATGTTCATGATTGTAATGATGCACCATAGCCCTTTCTATCACAATTTAGTCACTGTGATATTTTGATAACTAAGATATATGTTTGCTTAGACTAGTTGTTATTTCAGAGGGTCTTACCCCAGTATGTAATTTTATGAACTGCCCCAGGACATTGTTCAAGATAACGTTATCACTCAAGCATGTTTTTTGTTGAGTTTTTATTTTTCTTTCAGTTTGGAAGGTCAGTTTGCAGCATTGCATGGAAATCCAGATATGTAAGTATTTGTTCTGTATGTTTCTGTTTTTAATTAAAGAGTGAACGTATTTTATATAAATATGTGGCACTGTATTGCATTGTAAATTAAAGAAAATTATGTTAATATGTAATGGATTTGCTACCAGTAGTAATAATATTATAATAAAAAAATGTTGAATTATTAAATATATTCTTATTCCAAATAATAAAATTGCCAATGGATCTTTAGAAAGTTTCTTTTGGTTAAGATAGAGGGAACTGTCAGTGTTTTACATGCATAAACTAATTTTACAAAGAGAAAAGAGAGAAAGTATTTGTAAAAATTGTCCATGCACAATCATTTTTTCCAAAAAAATATCTTGTATTAATTTTACTTTCAATTGATGCACTTAAAAGCTTTTCTCATGGTCCATGATCCCTAAGTATACAATGTATACAGTAAAAAAAAAAAAACATATATCATTCATCGATCTTAATTAATCATAAACTTTAACAATAAAACAGCACTGTAACTAAGAACAGCTTTAACCTTTTTCTTTTTTTGTCAAGTGGAGTTTTACTGCTTTTCCCTTTCATTTGTTTTTCATGTAACAGTATTGTAGCTACTCCAGGACGGTTTCTTCATGTTGTGATGGAAATGGACCTGAAACTAACATCTGTGGAATACGTTGTGTTTGATGAGGCTGACAGGTATGCAGTTAGTCCAATTGATTGTACAGTAACTGTGGCTAAACTGCAGAATACCCTGCCACTTATTTACATGTCATTGAACAAGAATAGCCTCTATTGTGTTATCTTCGTTCTTCACAATAGAGGCTATTCTTATTCAATGACATGTAAATGAGTGGCAGGGTATTCTGCAGTTTAGCCACAGTTACTGTACAATCAATTGGACTAACTGCATACCTGTCAGCCTC